AGCAGCCTAAGTTTCAAGAGTGTCAGAAATAAAGGCTCCAACTAGAATGTTCCAGTTTGGAGACTTCCATCCTCCCATCTGTAAATAAACAGGAGGACCCTTCAGTTTGGGGCTGATTTCATCATTTGACGACAATGTTAGGACCCTCTTGAAAAGATCCTTGGACCTGTCTGTACTGAGGACTAATGGTAATGAATGAGCTGCCATACCTACAGACGGATGAGACTCCAATTCTGCTTTTCTCAATGAGGGTTTCCAGCATGGGGCCAAAACCACCTTTCCAATCCGAGCTGCTCCGAGTCGTCTCACATACTCATGGGCAACTCGAACCCAAATGGTACATGTACTGCATCTCTATGCCGGTTTGCTTGGTTTAGTTTGCCTTATTTTTGTACAGATTTTAAGAGTACATATTGCTCCCTTCAGACAGCTTTGCTAAATTCAAATACACACTTTCTCCCTTTCTTAGGATACATGTTGGTCTTGATTAACTTTTTTATGTTCTTGATTTAATCATGTACTGTATCTTCTGATTTCAAAGATATATGGTATATACCTTATATATGGTACTCATATATCATTTCATCTTATGTTTATGACCTTAAGAAATAGTTCCTTCAGAATAAAGATACCAAAAATAAGTAATTCCTCCTTTGTGTGTAATCACTGTATATATATATATCAAGAGATTATAGGCATCAAAAACTTTTCTTAATATACATTTGCATTCGCTTATATAAGTATAACATATATTTGAAAGAATAAATAGCCCCTGTTAATAGGGGCTAAAAGGAAGAGAGTTTTTTCTGCACTAGATACACTTTCATATGCTTCTACTTAAAAAAAAACACACATATGATTATATAACCTGCATTAAAAATTACATTGAAATATTATAAACAGTATAAATGTAAAGTGCAATAAAACAGCCCTTATACCACAGGAATACTTACCTAGACAGGATTTTATCATTTAAGGGATTCTCAACAAACCATCTTTCCCCAAAAATATTTTTTAGCCACCTTGACTGAAATCCCCTAGTTAAAATGCAGACACACACTCTGAAGACAGGAAGTGCATTATGCCATTACCCATTATCCAACGATTGAGGATTAGTTTATCACATTAGCATAATAAAGGCAAGTTACAAAGAGGCCGTGTGTAGTCTCCCTAATTCCCATTGCTTTTCCTTTTTTCCCCTCAAATAACTAAATTAACTTTGTTTTACTCAAAGAACTTCTGTATTAGCAAAAGAACTCATTTAGGAATTCTAGAAGTCCTACCCAAGCCAACTGGAGCATGGATTGGTCCTGTGGATGTTTCACTGTCTCTTATAAACGTCCCCCTCCCATCCAGTGTGGTCCATCAACCCGATCTCCTGGCCCCAGAGGCTGGCCCAGGGAGTATCTCCTTCATCTTTGAATCCTCCCACTCCCGACACTAAAACATCGCCACACGCTTCCAGAGAGCGATGATGAAAGTGAGCTTGTAGTGAAATCTCGTGGGTGAAATCTCAAATCAAAAGCGTCAATGAGAGACTTAAATTTGTTCTCATCTCAAGCAATAATCCCCTCATTCAGGCAAAGTCCGTCTATAAATAGCCTACTGTGTCCCTAGAACAGCACTCAGCAATTAACTAGGCAAAAAAAAAAAAAAAGACCTGGCAAGATCAGAATAGCAAATATATAGCAGATAATAAGTCAATTCTTAGTTAAAGAGATTTGATGAACTTCTAGAACTTCCCTGCCTGAACTTTGAAGGCTTTCATCACTGTTATCTTTACATGGCAATGGTCTTCAGTTTCCCATACGCTGTTAGCACATGTCTTTTTCCCATTATACGAAGATGCACTTTGTAAATCTGGCTCGGTAACGAGAATAAGTTTTCTAAACTATTGATTCGCTTTCACCATATTTTGCTTGCTGTTGTCTAGAGTCACGTAACTGGGGCTAATGAACCTCAGTCTCTTGGTCCAGGTGAGTTACCAGTAACTGGCCTGGCACAAGACCAAGCTACAACTTTAGACTATGAGAGCCTACCCAGCAAAGGCGGGCTAACAATTTTAACACAAGCAGAAGGCCAGCTCCAAAGTGTCACAGCTTCCGTCTGCTGACCTGTGAGCAATGCAAGCTTTTCTAAAATGAGGCCCTGTTATCAACTGCCAACCAAGACTTTAGTATCAGCCTTTCTGACCTTACACAAGTTTTCTTAGTAGCTGAAAATACCATACTATTTCTGCCTGAAATACTATGGTACCTACAAGGGATAACAAAAGGTATCAATCATGGGGTCTAACTGCGTGGAGTTCAGAGCCAATACCTCCACTGTGAAGCAGGCAGAAGCATGTGAACTCTCCTGGACATGAAAGCACCTTTTCCCTTTCAGTTGAGGCCCCTCTAGCTGCCAACTTTTACCAATGTACGCATTTTTTCCTCTACAGAAGGAAGTCAAGAAGAAAGAAACAGGAAGGAAGAAGGGAAGGAATGACTAACGGATTGAAGAATTAGTCCCAGTGTCTGTCTTGTCTAGCTGACACTACAATAATCCAAATGTACACAAATGAATGAGGACCTTCTGTAGCTCTGTTGGTTAGAGCATCATCCCGATAAGCCAAGGTCAGGGGTTCCATCCCTGCTCAGGGCACAGACAAGAATCGACCCACGAATATATAAATAAGAGGAACCAACAAATGTTTTTCTCTCTCTCTCTCCCCCTCAAATTAATTTTTTTAAAAAGAACAAAATGAGAATTCTTTTTTCATGCTGAGCCAAAATTTCTTGTAGTAAAGTAGTCACTGTATCGTAAGAGGCACCATTTGGTTTAGCGCTAAGCAGCCTCCCCCTCCACATATGTTAGATGACCTAAGTGGTCCAGCTTCTACCCCCACAGAACTGCAGATATTTTATACTACACCATGTGCTTCTGCTTCCATTCATAAAAAGAACACTTTTTTAAAGCCCTCAACACATATTGTTAGAAACACAGCACAACTAAAGGCATCAGTACTAGTTTTAAAAAGAAGTGTAGGTGATTAATATGCATTTCAACTTTAAGTAACATATAACTGAGTGTACTTATTTTCTTATTTGAGGCTATTATAAGAGTCCAAGTTCTAAAAGACTGACAAACAATTTACTTTCCTTAGATTATACTTCATCTCTTCCAGTACTTGAAATCTTTAGGTAATATACATGAGAGATTACATACACTGTTAGTTTACTGTCACCTTTAAAGTATTATTTTCTCTAATTCCTCTACCAAACCAGCTTTCTGGATTATCCAGGTTTAACCTGCCCAGAAGTGTGAGTGAGCCAGGAGGTCTGGGAGAATGTGTTTTCCAGGTATCAGGATAGTAAATCCCAACACGAGACCCTCAGAGGTAGACTACAATACGAGAGCTTTGACCCTGACCTCGCCTTTTACACTTCCTGTCCCCATTTACTAGGCACTCTTCCTTTCTTTTAAAACGGGTGTCAGAACCAACAATTAATGAGCTGCTCAGATGTCAAAAAAAATTGTCTCTCCCCCATACACAGCAACCAAGCTGCCCTATGAGTGCTGCTCACTGCAAAAGCCATTCTTCACCACTTATCTTAACCACTTTTTGTTTCATGGCCTTTATCACTATCCAGAAGTATCTCATTTGTTCACTGTCTGGGCCCCCATAAGAATATAATCTCTACAGAGATGTGCATTCATGTGTCTTGTTGATTGAATCCCAGCGTCCAAACTAATCTCTGGCTTGTACAAAATACTCAATAAATATACACACCGAATTACAACTTCTTACTCTGAAGAATTACAAGGTCTTTTATAATTGATCAGTGATCAACAAACCAACTAGTAAAATCTTGGGGTCCTTTTTTAAAATCATTGTAGAGAAAAGCAAGAGGAAAAATACACGTGCTCACCAACTCTTGCTACATTAGACATGAGAAAATGGACAGCTACGTGAAGGTTTTTAAGAAAAATCAATATTACTAATTTTTGAGACTACTTATGAAAACAGAAGTTCCTCCTTCTTAATACACTGAACTGTTGATCAGCCTACAGAGTGAGCATGCCGGACTGCCTGGCCCACCACTCTCCGGCCATTATCTCCGAGCTGCGTACCGGCTCAGTAAAGGGTATTTTTGGTGAAGAGCAGTGATGATTTTTACAAACATCATTTTACAATGATGTTTTATCAAACACAACAGCTCGGGAGTCGTGATCCCTGTAACAGATATCCTTAGGAAGTTGAGCCACCTCCACAAAGTGCCTGGGCAACTTCGGTTTAATGACAGTCGGGCAGAGGGAGTCAGACTAAGATACAGTCCATTTCGCTGAAGGGTATGAGCCGGAAGCTGGGAGGCAGAGAAAGTAGGGGTTTGGCACTAGGGAGAAAAGAGCTCATTGAAAATACTGCTTCTTTCCTACATTCTCTAAGCACCGCCCTACTGTTCCCTACCTCACAGACAACAGCCTTCCTTTTGTGGCACACTACAGTGATTTCTGGCACCCCACCACCACCCCCGCTTGGTAAATCGCAGAAACGGGCCGGGACTGCCTTACTTCTCAACATGGTGGGACCAGGATGTCGTGGTATCGGGCGCACGCGAGTTGGAAAAGAGGGGCTGGGTGAGTTGGCCTGGGCCAAGTTGGTCTCTCTAAGCCAAGTTCCCTCCTCCGTAAAATGTCCTGAAGTTACCTTCCGCGGAGGACGGTTAGCAGACCCACTATAACGACCGACCCCGGGTGCAGCGCCTGCGCCCAGGGAGCGCTGTGCACGGCTTCCTGGCACTCGCCCGCCGCAAAGCAGTATCGGGGAACTAGAATGGTGGCTCAGCCAGCACGGTGGTGGCTGAAGATGACTGCGGAGCGACTCCACCGCCTAACACCCTGCCTCTCGGCCGGCCCCGCTGCGACCACCGGGTCTCGAGAACGGGCGGCGGGAACCAGGGGCCGGCAGGGCCAGGCCGAGGCCGGGGCGCGCCAGGAGTGGAGAGGCCGGTACTTACCCCCGGCCGGCGACAGACGGCCTCTACCAGGCGTGTCCAGGCGGCGGCGAAGTCGGGCGGCGGGGCTCGCCGGCTCCGGCAGACGAGAGAGAACAGGGTCCCGAACAGGAAGGCGGCCGAGGCGCAGCCCAAGTACAGGACAAGGCTGAGCAGGGCGGCGCACGGCCCCGTGCCTCCTGCCCCCTGCCAGCAGCCGGGCCCCAGGTAGGAGAGGAACACCGCGGCGAGGATGGCCACGGCCACTGGCACCCGCCAGCTCCCACCGCGAGGGCCCCCTGGAGCCACCGCGTCCTCCCGGGGCTCCGGCCGCCGCTGGCCTGGAGCGCCCACGGCCGGCGCTGGGCTGAGGCCGGCGCCGCTGCTGTCGGTGGCATCGGGGTGCATGCTGCTTGCTGGGCCGCTAAGGACAGGCACATCTCCTGCCCCGCTGTCCCCCGGCGCAGCCCTGGACCGTGGCCTCTGCGCGGCGTCTCCAGCCCTCGCCGCTCCCGCCGCCGCTCGTGAGGCAGACGGAGTCCCCGATCATGCCCTCGCCGGCGGCCCACGGAGGGAACGGCTCCGACAGACGCCGCCGAGCTCCTCTCGGCGACCCCTCAGCGCCGCCAGTCGGCGCGGGGCCCGCAGCTGCCCGCCGGGCGCGTCCAGGTAGCCGGGCAGTGTTGTGACTTCAGCAGGCGAAGCCGGAGGCGGGGCGGGGGCGGGGCGGCCCTGAAGTGCGGGTTAGGCGTCGGCCCGGAGCGGCGGGGCCGGATGAGTGACAGCTGCGAGGCCGGCTGAGTGCCCGCCCTCCGCAGCTCGGGGGAGGGATCGGACCCTCAACTACCCAGCCGGGGAAGGGGCGCGACGACTGGCAGCGGAAGCCGCTCTGTCCTGGGCCTCCGGGTCCTGCCAGGACCCCGTCTGTGGGTAGAAAATTTTGCTGCAGGTGTCAGAAGCTTTTATAATTCTCGAGCTCAGGTGATTCCTTAGTCCTCGCTCTCAGTTCATCTCTGATAAGAACCTCCTTGCACGCTTACAGGCCCCCAAATGTCTGCCTTGTTTTCACCTGCTACTTAAATGGGCAACTATTCCGGATCATCACTTTCAACAGTTTCCTCTAACAGCCTTGCCTTTCCCATCCGCCAGCCTCGGGGAAGGAATGAGACAAACGTGGAGGAGTAAATGAAGCCTGCAATTCCTAGTTGTGCCAAGGCCCGAAGAAGTCGGCCTGGTGCCAGGCGGGCACCAGCTGCCATCAACGCTTTGGCTCCAAGCCCCTACATTCCACTGCCAACAATTCAATGCAAATGCTATTGCCCACGTAAGTCAAAGTAGTCGAAATAATTTTTAGAGTACATCATTTCTATCATGGTCCCAGCGTTAATATAACAGACAATGCTTGCAGAGAGGATGGCAATATGCTAGAGATTACGGTTACTACTAAGACCAATGAAGCAGCAGATGTATCTTGCATGGATAAAGGGATTCTAAAGAGATGAATGATTATTTGAAAGGAGGGTGACAGAGTAGAAAGACCAAATCCAGAACTGAAAAGGGAAAGAAGGGAAGGAGGGGTATTGGTAAACCTATGAGGGGAGCAGTGAGAAACAAGGAAGGAAATGGGAGACACTTGTAAGCAAAAGCCCAGGGCTCTCTGCCTGCAGCCGTCGTGATGAATTTTAAGTTTAAAGGCGCTGTTGTTTTCCAATAAATTGAGTTATATCCTGCTTCCCAGTAAGCATAGTTGAGAAAAATAAGGATTAAAATATTTTTTCAGTACTGTAACTGTATTGTGTTTTTCAAAGCAATCATGCCTCATGTCAACAGAGAAATATACAACATTAGTAAACTATTGAGTGCATCTTCTTTTAAAACAGAATTGTATCAGAGGTTATTATTCAAAAAAGGAAATACTGGTGTCCACAGACATACATAGTCCACCCATGTAGTCATGTCTTCATAATTAATTTTTCCGGAGTGGCAGAAATTCAAGTGGGAGGAGGAGTAAGAGGTCTAAAAAATCGTCTGTAAGACTTGGTTGTAACAAAACGGCACATAAGTGAGGTATATGATATATCTGTGTAAAATGTATTTACGTGTGTGGTTTTTAAAAATATTTTTGTTTTAAATATTAATATTTGCATGACACTTCTTATACCTTGTAAGTCAAGGACAAGATAACAACTGCCTTTTGCCAGACGTGACTTTGCTGTGACCAGATGACATCAAGACAAGCTGCGACCTTCCTGTTCTTCTTGCCTTCAACCCCCCCCTTTTAAAAATAGATAAATAAATACAGCAGTGTAACTGAACTCGAAGCATTCCTTTTGCCCCTAAAATAGTTAACATTCATCTCACTACCCCTCCTCAAAGTGCACCCCACTAATCCAAATTGTTTCAAGGAAAGCATGTTATTACCAACAATCATATCTATATATTTTTGTTTATATCTATGCCAAGGACTGTGTGTAGAGGGCTCTCTATACCTTTTCCAACTGAAGCCCATGGCTGACAATAACAGTATCTAACTGCACACCCCGTATGCCAGGTACTGTTATAGGCACTGGACATGCTTTATCTACTTCCTTCACAGCAAGCCCGATAACCTTATCCCCAGCTACTCGTGAGGAACGTGAGGCAAAGAAAGTAAAACAAATAACTTGCTCAACATTTCAGAGCTAATAAATGTTACGGTCTGGCTTTAGAGCTGTGCATTTAACCACCGTGCCACATTGCTTCCAAAAATCTGTCACTTACTCATCCCTTGTTACAGAGAAGAAACAACAGGTTTAAATCCTGCACAGTTTAAGACACATAATTCTATTGCTTTAAAGCATTGAGTGTGGTGCTTTCTGAGTAAAGCTGGTGGTATTTTGGCCAGGTCCCTGACTAGTACTGAGTGAGTATAACTTCAACAAGTAAAGCACAAACTGGTCTTTCTTTTATTAAGAGCCCTGGTCTGCAACTCTTAAGACCCTAATCTTTCCAACACACCAATTTATTGTTCCCAAAAATAACACAGAGCTGGAGAAATGTACAGTCATGGTTGGCAAACTTCCTTCAAGCGGACGCCATCTTGCTGTTAAGTCAGCACCGATACTTCGAAGATTCTTCACAAAAAGCACTGGGCCCCTGTCCTGTGCAAGGTCTGAGGAGCACAGGAGCCAGGCCAGACAGGGGAGCACAAGGGAGTGACTAGGACCAGCAGGCACCACGGGCCATGACGCCAGAAGTCAGGCATTATATTAGAGTCCGTGTGTTCCTTCCCAGAAGCCGGTGTTGAGTCCTTCCAGGTCTAAGGGTTAAAAAGCAAATTAGGCCGGGAATTCTTATTTATATTCCTTAAAGCCAGCACCTTCTGATAGGCAATAATCAAATGTTCCATAGACTAGCTTCATTATCCTCTCACAAGAGATGGAATGACATCTGTCTTAACTCATTGGGATGTTATAAAGACAAATTAAATGGAAAATTACATTTAAAATGTCAGGCAGTGTAAATAAGTAGACAGCACAAACCCTGGCAAAATATATGACCATCTTCCCCTTCACCAGTGTATTTCTCCTTAAACCCTGGCCCAACCTGGAAATAGCTACAGGATTAGAGAGAAAGCCATAGTATTTGCCCTTGACCACTTTGGGAAACATTGTGAATGAAGATGTTAACATGAGTCAAAGACCTAGATATCATACTAGTTTTTTTCTGCTTATTCACTGTAAGACCCTAACAGGTCAGTTAATTCCCCTCTTTCTTTCCTGTAACTTTCAAGCAGAGCGTGGTTTACAAAAAATAGACACGTGTGGCCAAGCTTCAAAAACAAATCATAAAATACTTTAAAAGCAAATAGTAGTTGGCTAAAGATTAGAGGAAGTGTAACGCAGCATTTCTAAGAGGAAGATAAACCTCTCAACCAAATTTTGGAACATATATAACTTACGCCGAGTGACGTTCCCTATTAGAGCAGCTGTGCCTCATTTTATTGCACTTTGCTTTACTGAACTTCACAGAGGGCGCGTTTTTTACAGGTTGAAGGCTTGTGGCAACCTTGTGTCCAGCAAGTCTAGCAGTGCCATTTTCCATCAGCATTTGCTCACTTTGTGTGACATTTTGGTATTTCCTGCAATATTTCTAACTTTTCCATTATTGTCATATTTTTATGGTGTCTTGTGATCTTTGATGTTACTACTGTAATGTTTGGAGGGGTGCCACAAACCACACCCACATAAGATGGCAAGCTTAATCAATATTGCGATCTGTCCCACTGATTGGCCGTTCCCATCTCTCTCTCTCCCTGTCTCTCTGTGTGTCTCTGTCTCTGTCTGTCTCTGTTTCTCTCTCCCCACCCCTCAGGCTTCCCCTCACACATAACAACATCAACATTAGGACAACTGATAACCCTCCAATGGCCTCTGAGTGTTCAAATGAAAGGAAGAGTAGCATGTCTCCCACTTTAAATCAAATGCTAGAAATACCGAGCTTAGTGAGCAAGGCCGGTGGAAGCTGAGAGAAGCTGAAAGCTAGGCACCTTGTGCCAGTCAGCCAAGTTGTGAATGCAAAGGAAAAGTCCTTGAAGGCCATTAAAACTGTTATTCCAGTGAACATATGAATGAATAAGAAAGTAAAACAGCTTTATTGCTGATATGGAGGAAGTTTTAGTAATTTGGATAGAAGATAAGGTTAACCCCAAGTAAACCAAAGCCCAATCCACAGCAAGGGCCTGACTCTTCAATTCCGTGAACGGTAAGTAGGATGAGGAAGCTGCAGAAGGAAAATCTGAAGCTGGCAGAGGTGGGTTCATGAGGTTTAAGGATGGAAGCCATCTCCATAACATCACAGTGCCAGGTGGAGCAGCAACTGCTGGGGCAGAAGTTGCAGCAACCAAGGCTATGCTTATTGAGAATAACGCCAGTTAAGAACATGGTTGTACAAATATATGCGTGACACTGCTTTCAGTTCTTTATGGTACATATCCAGAAGTGAAATTGCTGGGTCATATGGTAATTCTATGTCCCAGTTTTTTGAGGGACTTCCAGTTCTATTTCAAATGTAAAATGGCCATACTATTTTACATTCCCATCAAAAATTACCATGGGTTCCCATCTTTTCACGTCTTCGCCAACCCTTGTTAATGTTACATTTGCCATCCTAATGTGTGTGAAGTGGTATCTCATGGTTTTAATTTGCATTTCCCTGGTGATTAGTGAGGTTGAGCATCTTTTCATGTGCTTATTGGCCATTTGAGTAGCTTCTTTGGAGAAATGTCTATTCAACCCCTTTGTGTAATAAGCTCTACCTAGAGAGTAAAAAACCATCCCTGAGAAATGGGGACAACCTATTTTCATCAGGCAGAATTAAGTGAAATCCTTCCTTTTAACCTACAAAAAGAACAAAGAAACGATTCTCTGTACTTGCTGGTAGTGACAACCACACAGGAGATGCATTGTGAAGAATGAGACTAGAGCCATTAGTCTCATATTTTTATGGTGTTTTGTCATATTAGCGAGAGTCCCTAGGATCCGGCTAACCCTTACTTCCTTTGCCCTTTCATGTAAAAAATACATTTATTGAGTACCTGTTATATTAGTTTACTATTCCTGCTATAACAGATTACTACAAACCTAGTGGTTTAAAACAACACATTATTCTCTTACTGTTCTGGAGGTCAAAAGTCTAAAACCAAGGTCTTGGCATGGTCTCCCTTTCAGAGGCTTCAGACAGTCCCTTCCTTCCCTCTGCCAGCTTCCACAGGTGCCTGCTTTCTTCGGTTCACAGTCCCTTACGTTACTCTGATCTCTTGCTGTCTTTTTTTTTTAACTTAAAATTTTACAAAAAAAAAAATGTGTTCGTTTTATTGAGATGTAATTGACAATGTTCTATATGCTTAGGGTGTACAACAGAATATGTGTATATTACAAAATAATCACCACAATAAGCCCACTTAACATCCATCACTTCACAGAATTTTTACTCCTTCCAACTTTCAACTATGCAATATAGTCACCATGTTACTACAGTAAGCACCACGCTGTACTTATCTCTTGCTTCTATGACCAGGACTCCTATTACTGACTTTGATTACTGACTTTCTTGCCTCCCCTCTTATAAAGACCATCTGGATTACACTGTGCCCATCTGGACAATCCAGGTTCATTTCTCCATCCCGACATCCTCAATCACATAGCAAAGTCCCTTCTGCCATTTAAAGTAGCATATTCACAGGTTATGGGGGTTAAGAGGTGGACATCTTTGGGGCGCCATTATTCTGCCCCTCCCATGCTGTGCCTGTTCATTAAAAGTCGAAAAAATCATGACATTCCATGTGTTCTACAGAGATCATTCTTCTCTTAGATTGTTTGAACAACCCACCTCGGTTACCATTAGTAACAGGGTTTCTCATGTGTCACCAGGCCCTGGACCAGAGAATTAGTTGTCTTAACTGCAATTTGCTGATATAAACAATCACAAAGACACAGCCGCCCCATTTTTATTGTTACTGTTGCCGTTTTGGTAAGTACAAGTAAACGAAAATACCTTTCCCCATTAAATTGGCACACAACAACAAGCCCCACCATTCCCCTTCAGAGCTGGCACCGTAGCAGTAAGACCTCAACGGAGCACCGGGCACCTCCGGAGGACAACGCCTTCCTGCACGTGCTCCTTCCGCTCGACTCCACGCTGTGGGCCCGACCTCCCGCCCCGCACCCGAGGGGGCGGAGCCGGTGGAGCCTCTCTAGGCCGCAGGAGCCCTCCACCGCTCTATGACGCCTGCTGCCGGGAGCAGCGCTGCAGGACTGCTCGACCCCCACCGGGTTCCCGCGACACTCGCCCCTTGGCCCTTGCAGCTCCTCCCCCTCCTTCCGCTCCGCCCCGGAAGCGCGCCGGCGCCTGCGCACCAGGCGGCCTACGGCACTCCGGCGAGCGCCGCCGCGGAGCGAGCTGTTTTTCCCGCTTCATCTCCGTTCGGGGTCCGTTTCCTCTCTCCGGAGCCAGGACAGCGGCTAGCACTCAGGGTCAGTGTAAGGAAGCGCGCGGGAGGGGAGCAGGCGCCCGGCCAGCCCCTCGGGCAGTGGGCGTAACCGCAACAGAGGCGTGGGAGACGCGGCTCCCTGGCACCGCCCGTACCCCGTGTCCCGGTGGGCACGGCCTGTCCTCAAGGCGCCTTCGGGGTGGCGTGAGGGTCGGAGGCAGCTCAGAATTAGGAAGCGGCAGCGACCTGGAGCCGGGCGCAGGTCACCACCGCCCACCCCCGCGAACTTGAACCTGAACCCTGAGGTGGGAGTGGGGGGCTGTCAGTTATCTTCCCGCCACCTCGCGGGTCCAGAGGGAGTGGGGGACCGGGCCTCTGTTCTTGAAACATAGATGTTTACTGGGGGCCTAGATTTTTGTGTACCTAGTCGGTTACCTTCTTTGGACCATGTTATATAGCTAACTGTGGAAACTTAAAGCCAAAAGAACAGAATGACAGTTTGAAAAATGCCAGTTCTGATCTGTGCACTTTCCCGATGAATCTGGAAAGCATCGCGGATGGAGTGGAGCTGATGGGGCGTGTCCCGGGCAGCTTTGGCAAACACCTGTCTTCCCTGAGCGCCGCTTAAAGGTTATTCAGGCTTGATGAACTACCATTGAATGTTTACCCTTTCCCAATATGTTGTAAAGAGAATCGTTGCTATGTTAAGCCCGTATGTTTATTATGCTCTAATATAAAGTGAATCTCACTAACGTTGAAGTAAATATTATGGGAAGAATTGCTTAGTGAGTGGGATTGTTGGATAATTTTTCTGTGAATTAAGTGAAATTATCTGAGCGTTGAAATAACCATACCTGTTGGATATTATCAATCCAAATTTGAACCGGAAAGTTTCCCAGGCACTGGGCTATGCACCACCTCTCCTGAACTGTGACCAGCTAAAGAGGGTACAGCTGTTGGGGACTGCAGGCACCTTATCAGTGCAGATAAGGGGACAGTGTGGTGGGGGGAGGGGGGACAACGGAGGGAAAGTATCAAGGAAACTGGCTCAGGGAAAAGAGGTGACTCTTAGGACATAGCCATCAAAGAGTAGAACAAGGCGCAGTCTTAAGTCTCAGATTTCATGGAATAAACATTTTTTGAGTAATGTATTGGTCAGATCCTACTTTAGGCGCCATGAGACTTAGTGATGATGAGGTAGTTATCAGGGGTTCCCAGTCTGGTAAGGAGATGGCAAGGCAGGGGACTGTTAGCTGTGCAAAACAGGGATTTCAAAGACGTATGTAATCATTGGATTTGGGGATCTAGACCTAGTTCATATAATCTTGGGGCTGGGAAAGAGCATATCATGCTAATGCATGAATGCCCTCTGCAGCATCCCAGCCAGTGGACATTCAGCCTTTTCTCCAACATCAGCCTTGGCTCCTGCTCTTGGAAAGTAGCCTGGTCCAGCCCTGGACGGGTGGCTCAACTGGTTGGAGCATCGTCCCGCACACCTAAAGGTGTTGGGTTCCACACTGGGTCAGGGCACGTGCAGGGGGCAACACATTGATGCCTCTCTCTCACAACACTGTCTGTGTCTGTCTCCCTTCCCTCCCTGCCCATCCCTCTAAAAACTGAATAAGCATATCCTTGGGAGAGGATTTAAAAAAAAAGAAAAAGAAAGTAGCCCCAGTTTAATTTCGAGCAGTACTAATGTTAAACTCAAGACGGCTTTCTAATCCACTCCATCTGCTGGAGTAAGTTCTGCCTTTAACTACAAGTAACAACTCTAAAATCTTTGTTCATGTCAGTCCTGCCAATATCTGAATACATTCTGTTCTTAAAATTCTTAATCACGATTTACATTTTAGACTCTTCACCGTACCTCCCAGAACTGCTTCCATTCAGGAAAGTCTGGGGTGTGCTATGGAACCATTTGCTTTTAAAATTGAAGAAACTTAAAAAAAATTAATCTGAAAGGTATTCTTAGCCATGAAACAAAGTGAGAAAGAAAAAACAACCATGACTCTCTTATTTCAGTTCTTGACTCTTTGGATTGCAGGATGAATTATCTGACCAAAAAAAGGGCAGCTCTTCTGGGAATTTAATGACAGTGGGCGTTGAATTCTTTTGGGAATTTAATGATAGTGGCCGTTTAATAGATTTGTTGTTTTCTTTTGTGAGCTCAGGCGAACAGAGTTGGGCTGGTATCGGTCAGACTCTTCACATTTGTGATGCCCGAGATCACAGCCCTCCACCCAGGTTCCCATTCTCCTTGACCCCTCTTTCTCACCCTTACTCCTCCTCTCCCCTCAAGGGCTCGAACGCTTGCATGTCTGATGTGTGCCCTCCCAGTCCAGCCTGTGTAACTTTACGTGTTGGTGCCCATGAGGAATAGGGTCTTGTGTGTGCTTTAAGTTTTTTGTAACGGTATTGCTATTCATTTAATTTTGCTTTTTTAGTTATTTTGTAGATCTCTGTTCATCCTTTGCGATTGGTGTATAGTATACCACATATGCCATTTTGCTTATCCATTTTCCTCTTAACGAGACATTGGGGTTTTTTTTCTAACTCACTGTTACTACAAGTAGTGCTATCTGAGCACCCTTGTGTTGAGGGGAGAGACCCGGATCTTCTTGCTGACGCATGTAAAGAATTACAAATCAGCAAATCTATTAGCATACAGTCAATTTATTAGTGACCCGTTCCCAAGGAAGAGAACAGGACTAGCTGGAGTGGGGGGCAGAAGGCAAAGTTTTAGGGCAAAGCAGGGCAGCAAAAATAAGAATGGCCAAAGACCAGGGTGGCCAGCCCCCTGGTGGCCTGAGGCCAGGTGGGCGCCAAGAGCACCCGAGAGAGAGAGAGAGAAAAGAAGAAAAATTACATATTGATTACTGTGTAAATGTGGTACCAGCTTTCAGCTTTCCTGGGAGGTGATGTGACTACCCAAGCATAGGTACTTGTGTGGGGGGTTCTGTTAGCCCAAATCCTTATCTTGCTCCAGACTCCATTTGTTCATGTTGTTATAAAACAAATATGCAACAGGAGGCAGTTACGAAAGATTGGGGCACTTTCCCAGAGTTATTCATGGGCTCTTTCTGTAAGCATCAGGGACTCCCTTGTAAAACATAATGACCAGAGGTAGACAATTAACCAAAGTTGTTTTATAAGCTTCTTTGGGCACCATGGCCCCTCTCCTGCTTTCCAGGCTCTAGGATGAAAGCAGTTTCAAGGACTTCCCTCCTTCCTTGCTAACATGGTGTTTCCTGTGATGTTGGAACACCTGGCAATATTATTCAGACCAGGCTCAGGACTGCTGAGTTAGCAGGTGAGACCTGTCTCCCTCCTCCTCCCTGCCTCGGTTTACTATTCATTCTACCTAAGTGATAAAGTCCTGGCAGCCAGGATGCTGGATGCCGGCTGGTAACAGCAGTGTGGTCTCGGAAATCTTCCTCTGCTGTCTCCTGCCTCACTTGTACATGCGCCTGGGAACACAAAGCTGGGAAGTGGCGAAGCGGAGCTCGAGCCCACGTGCGTCTGACTCAGTTTATTGTTTTTCACTCTGCAGACTCCCAGTAATCCCCTACGTGCTTCATTGCATGGACACTGTTATTATAACAGTGATGGAAATATAAAATAGGCAGTGGGGTTGTTGATTTTTCTCCTAACAGGTCAGCTCTTAATTTATACCCTTTTTTTTTTCTCCTGGTTTCTGTTTAAATATGTAAATTGCATTATTATTAACCCAGTATGGGCAGTCATTTTTAATACTGCATTTTTCGTACTTATATATCCCCTAAATCAGGGGTCCACAGATTTTTTCAGGAAAGGATCCATCGGTAAATATTTAGGCTTTGGGGGCCATAGAGTCTCTCTCTGTCACTTCCCAGCTCTGCAGCTGTGGTGAGGAAGCTGCCAGAGACCACTCCTAAACCCGAGAGTGGGGCTGCCCAAGGTTTCCATTCCTGATATATTTGACCCTCCTCTCCCAAAAACCTTGGAATTTCCCAGGGGCTGAAAGTGGTTCTGGTGTTTTTGTTATGTTAACAGTGATATTTCGACCCTACCCGAGGGTGGGGCTGGTTGCCAGGAGAGTCAGTCAGATTAAAGGTTTGGAACTTAAGTTCCACTCACCCTTTGGGGAGAGGCGTTGGAGAGCGAAGTGCCAGTGGCCCAGGGCTCAATCTTCACTATGCGGTGCAGCCTCCATAAAGACCCAGGCGAGCTGGCTGGTTCTTATTGCAGTGTTTCCCTGGGGAGCTCCCCTTGCACCTCTTTTCATCGGACTGTGGACGCGTATCCCTCAGCCTCCTTGTAATGACTTGGTACCCCAGTGAGTGAGTGGGTTTTCTTGAGTTCTGTGCACTGTTCTAGCTAATCAAATCCAAGCTTGGGCTGCTGGGAAACTGGTTTATAGCCAGTCAGTCAGGGATACAGGCAACGACCTGGGTTTGGGACTGGCGTGCTGAGTTGGAGGAACCCTTGGAGCCCCCGGTGTGCAGTTAGTCAGAAAGTGCAGGTAGCCCCCTGGGTTTGTGTCTGGTGCCTCCAGGTGAGGGTGGTCCTGGGGGTGGTACTGAGGGACCGAGCTCTTTTCCTGTGGGATCCGATGTCCATGGTGTCAAAGTTGAGTTGAATTCTCAGACTCCCTGCAGACATCTGAGATTGTTTGTTGGTGTGGGGAAGCATCTTACCCACATTGGAATTCGGTCTGGGAACCTTTTCAACTGTGTGACTCTAAAACTTTTACAGAAACTAGTATCAGGCCAAATTTAGCCCATGCACAGTAGTTTTCTGACCCCTGATAAATAATTATTTAATGAAATCATAATATTCCTCTATTCAAGTTTTCTCAGACTGCTATAGTTAATACTATTCCTTCTTAATATTCTTAGGATAAATGATCAGAAATGAAGGTACTGGTTCAAACGATTTATGACTTTTTTGTGCCTCCAAATTTTAAAAAAGATTTTATTTATTTATTTTTTTATTTTTAGAGAGAGGGAAAGGGAGGGAGAAAAGAGAGGGCGAGAAACATTGATGTGTGAGAGGTACATCAATCAGTTGTCTCTTGCATGCCCCCAACTGGAGACCTAGCCTGCAACCCAGGCATGTGCCCTGACTAGGAACCGAACTGGCGACCTTTCGTTTTGCAGGTTGGCACTCAATCCACTGTGTGGCCCTAAAAATTAATTGCCAAATGTCTTTAAGAGACAAGTTCCCATTTTTATAAATTACTACTTGAGAGAGTAGACTTTTATTTCAGTATGGGTAAATATTATACCTAAAACCTTGTTGGACTTTTTTTTTTTTTTTGAGGATTTGGGGAAGAGCTTTTCTTCTGTCACTTTGGATTTTAAAACACAAAAAGGGTATTAATCTATGTTATGGGAGGTAATACTTTGTATTTTAATATTTATTAGGTATAGGTTTTATCTAATTTTCTTAAATATTTAAGACTTAACACATCTTATTTCAGTTTAAGTGCAATAATGTTAGACTTTTAAAACTCACTGTCACTTTGATTAATTTTCACTCAGTTTAAATTTCCTTGAACATTGAACTCTATTTGCAAATTTATTTAACGGCACAATTACAGTTTTTAGTACACAGTATTTGATTTTCTTCCTCAAACGTCTGACAAGTCACACTCAGCAGACCTAATAAAGAAACTCTTCCTAAGTCCTTAGATGTTGTGTATAAGCCTAGTAAGTCTAACCTTACTGAATTAATCAGATTCCCTTATAAGTTTAACATGTCAGAGTCTCTCAAATTCTTTAAAACTTCAGGCAGACAAACGATCCGATGATGATGAAATGTATCACCCCATACGCTCTACCCTGTCATGTTGCACTTACCATGTTAGTATCAATAATACAAGTTTTGGTTGATTTTAAAATCATGTTTGTACTTATTTTTATAAGTGGCAGGGTCACTTAAGTAAAGGCTGCAGAGTATCATGGCTGATTTAGGGTACAGATAACATAATTTTTTATTGCTTGATTGGATATAATGAAATTGAATACAGTGAGCACATAATTGGCTTGTTACCTATATGTTATTATTGGGAATTTGTATATTGCTTTCCTTTAATGTAACTCATACTATTTGCCCTTTTGAATATCAATTTGGACGATGTCTTTCTATAGAATTACATTTTCATTTTTATATATGTCTTGTTTCTTGTTTTTCAGTGTAAATTTCCAGCTTGAACAGTGAAAGCCCCTTTGACACGGAGTCCTTTGTTTTATTCCCACTAACTCAGGCATATTTGAATATTGTGCTTTCTGACAACAGGAAGATATTCCAGGCCCTTCTTGAGGTCCCCCCCCCCCAATGCAAAATGGAATCAGCTGTCCTGATTTTTTTAGTTAATTATTTTTTTTAGCGGAGAATAGTATTAGAGGTTACACTCTGAATTCAAGGTTATTAGTAGTAGAAGTTGTGACACGGCCACTAAGACCAGTGAGAAAGAGAAATAGTTCCAATTTAATTTCAATGGTACAAAGTATTAAATATTTTTAAATCAGCAAGTCAGCTGGTAATTTAAGGTTTCAACCAAAACAGTGGTTCCTGCACTATGCTAGAGGCACCTACTTTGAGCATTTTTACATATTTCTCCCAACATTTAACTGTCTAAATAATATGCTTTCATTTTTTTACTTTAGACAGCCCGTTGGCTATACAATCTCTTCTGTGAGACTCCCTTTAACACAGCACGACATGCGGACTTGTCCCTTGTCACCTTCAATTGGCGGTGACGTCCCAGGTTGTGATGGAATTTCAGAGCTTTGCCCCGAGCTGCCTGTGTAGCCTTTGTCTGGGTCTTACAGTTGTAGTTCCCCTTTAAGGATGGAGGCAGCTTGTCTTTTTCCTGGGAACCCTCTCCTTTCTGTCCCTGCTTCAGTACCCACAGTGGGGGAGCAGAGTAGGGCGGAGACCAGCTCTTAAGTAGGGTGGTTTGCCCATCTGCGTTGACTGCTTTCACTAAAATAATGTGTTTGTGCTGCTCTAACCCCATCCTTTCTTATTCTGCACTCGAACTGTACTTAATTTACGGAAGGCAGGTCTTCCTTAAGGTTCATCTAAGTATCCACGTATCTGATATCCCTGCTTCGATGATCTGTTTTGATTTTCTTGTGAACTGAACTATTAGACCCATTTTTCAAGTCATGGACACAATTTGGAAGTGCTCCCATAGCCCCATTATCACTTCTCTGAGTTACTGGTTTTTGGTAGGGGGGGGGGTCATGTTTCTCTTAATATAGTAACCAAACCTCTCAGTTTGGGAAAACTGAATTACTATACAAAATAAGGAGTATGTTAAAATTACCTTTTAGTCTGATGGTTATATTTGCCTCCTTTTTTAGATATATTTTTGCCATCATGGATCAGTTTGGAGATATATCAGAAGGTGAAGTGGACCATTCTTTCTTCGACAGTGATTTTGAGGATGCAAAGAAAAGTGAAAGTAACTCAGTGTTTGACAAGCAAAATGATAATCCTAAAGAGAGAATAGACAAAGATACACAAAATGTAAACTCAAAACTTAGAATGCAAAGAAACGAAAATTATTTTACTGAGAAAGAAAATGAAAGACAAGTGATAATTCCTCCAAAAGAACACGTAATAGGAAATGATAGTACACACACCAGAAATTCTTTTTCACTGACCACTTCTTCAAGATCAAAGAAATTGAGTGATGCTACAACAGGACGTAAAATACACTTGACCATTCCAAGTAGAATTCCCAAAACTGTAAAAGAAGGTGAAGATGATTACTACACAGACGGAGAGGAAAGTAGCGATGATGGGAGAAGACATCACGTCCGGTCCAAGTCAGCCAAACCGTGTAGTCAGGCCAAGAAAGGCCCAGGTAGAAAGTATTCCAAAAGGAGTTCCTCTTCCTCTTTGTCCTCCTCAACGTCACGGTCAGGCACGGAGTCTTCAGATGCAGACTCTGATAATTGTGCATCTGATTCTCCTCCAGGATTAAAGAAACATCTCTCGCGTGTAACTCACTCGTCACCGAAGCAGAAATCTCACTCAGCAGCGCAGTCAGCAGGACCACAGCCTTCAGGGACTAAACCAAAAGTCGGCGACTGTGCCGAGGAATCAGAAGACACTGTGACAGATGTCACTCCTTTATCAACCCCTGACATCAGCCCTGTTCAGTCTTTTGAACTGGGCACATCAAACGATCAGAAAGTAAAAATTAAACGGCAAGAAAATGTGAGTCAGGAAGTGTATGGGAGTATTGGGGATTTAAAAAATAATTTGAAATCGGCCAAAAAAGGAAAAGAAAAACACGGGGCCAACCTCACCCCCAAGTCCCCAGAGTTAGACTCCAGCTCAGGCCGCAGGCACAAACAGAAAGCCTTAAATGACACAATGGACCTGAATCATCTCTTGAAAGGTAGGTTTTCCTTTTCAGAACTGTTGAGTTTAAATATTAAACTTAAAGGTACATTGAGCTTCAATGTTAAATGCTTTGGCTGTGTTGATTTTCCTAATAGATAAGCTTTGTTGTTCGGGATAATTAACATCACAAGTTACTGAAGATTCCAGTTTGCCATAAAAATACCATGAATGTCATCATTTGCATGAATCAACTAGGTCTAAAAATGACTTCACACTAATTTTTTTTGTTGGTGCCACACAAACTCCAAATGCCGGGAGGGACCAAATGGGCGAGATCATTGAGACGAGTGCAGGCAGCCAGAGTCCCCCAGTTGGTAGAGACGTGGGCAGTACACTTGCTTCACTTGCTCCCTTTAGAAAGGCAGCACCTCGGAGGTTAAAGCGACCGAGTTGTCATCCTCACCCCCCAGAAGGTGACGGGGAGGCAGGCAAATGAAAGAACTCGGAGTAAACTGCAGGGCACCATTCAGATTTCATGTTAGAGGTTAAAAATAATTACCTAGTTGATAAAATTGCATAATTCCGTTTTCAAATATAAATATTTTAACTAGAATAATTTTATTGTATTTCTATACCAGTTTATTATTATCACATTTCATTTGAAAGGAACAATACATTTATTCCAGGTGGAGGAAAAGCAGCTTCAGACTTTCCTTTGGACTTGCCACTATGAGTAAAATTATGGGGCTTGCAGGTTAGGCTTTAGGTCAGTTGAAGATAACATTTTTAAGTTGTAAATAGAATTCTCTTTGTTTGAATTGTTGAAAGAAGAAATCTTGAGCTTCATAATTTACATAGTGGTGAAAATGGAATGGTGTAAATAAATTCCATAGTTAGTCAAATGACTCATATATTGATAAAGGGATTTTGGAGCATTTTACACTTGGGGTTATTCCTCTTCTGGAGGTTTGCTCTTCCCTGTGCTCTGACTGTCCCAGTTGTGCAGTGTGTCTGAAACACGGGACTCACACACTGGCCATCCCTACCTAGTGGCCAGACCTCCACTCAGTGCATCTTTCCTGATAAATGCTCATTCAGCCTCTTAAAACTTTCAGGACGGAGACATTTTCTATTGTCGCCCCTCTGCTTCTTCCGCTAACAACCAGATTGATCTTTTAAAAAGCGATCTCTACTAGTTTTTTTAACTCTTCAGTGAGCTCAATCTTATATTAAAAGTAAAATCCACATTCCTTATAGCCTAACAGCCTCCCAGTCAGCACATGGGTGTCATCCGGAGAACGAGTGAAACCGATTAGTAAAGCAGATATTGATGCCCCGTCCCACCGAGGGCTTTCTGATAGTTGGTCTTATGTGCTATTAAGGTTGATGAGAAGAACGATGGCCCTGCATCGTATGGATGTTGCCCACATCTCTCTTTGATCTGTTACTTTGCTCCAGGTGCACTGCTTCCTCACCATTCTTGGAACACTTTGCACTTACAGGGCATTGGCACTTGCTGTCGCCCTTTGCATAGGCTGCTTCTGTGTCTCAGGTCTCAGCCTATAATCACCTCTTCAGAGAGACTTTTTCTTACCATTCTGTCTAGTACTAGCTTCATACCCTTGACTCCTACCTACCTCTCTGTCCCAAAAGCCTGTTTCCTTCCATCAGAATGCATATTAGAGCTTGAAATTGGTCGTGTTTGTTTGCCTTTCTCTCTCTGTGCTTGGAGTGTAAGCAACAGGAGGGCAGGATCGTATTCCTTACTAGAATCCTGAAATCTAGCACGTGTTGACACATAATAGGTGACACCTGTCAACTGAAGAAACTGTGAGGAGGCTTCTGTGTTGCACAGCTCTGACGGCTAGGAAATGTATTTCATGTTTCACTGAAATTTGACTTTGTGTCCATTACCCCGTAGTCTTACTTAGATTTGCCATCTGAAATTTCATCGAATAAGTCTGTGCCTCCTGCATTATAACCTTTAGTAAAGTTGATAACATTCTTCTCTAGGGAAAGTCTCTAATTCTCTGTCAAGCTGTCCACTGTAACAATTGTCACTTAAAAAACATTCGTATGGCCACTTTCCAGTCCATAAGAGCTTCTCAACTTAATACGCGTACGGGTCATGGGGGATCCTGCTAAAACACAGATTCTGGTTCAGGGTCTTGAGCAGAAGCCAAGGAGCGACATTCCCAGCCAGCCTGCTGGTGGTACTGGCCCCACCCAAGGACCGCAGTCCGAACACCAGGATGCTGAAAAGCATTCGGTTCCTTGAAGATGCAGCTGTCTCTCACGTCCTTATCTAAGTTGGATGGGGGAAGCCTGTGTATTTTTAAGTTTGAAATGGTAGAAACAATAATCGTACTCAGAATCCCTCAGCAGTTTTCTCCCAATAGAAATGAAGCACTGAAATACTGTTTCAACAGGGAAACCAAACATGTGTACAGAGGGGAAGCTTTATTTGTACCCCTGCACTGCGGGGGGCGGGGGGCAGTAGGTAGGGAGCGTGGTCTCAGCGACTTGCTGCTAAGTGGTGCCCAGGGCTTCTAAAGGCACTGGAGCCGAGGGGGCATTGGCTAGTTGGTACCTATGTTATTGGACTTCATAACAATCCAAGGATTCTGTGTAATAATGACGTATTTCAAACACTAACAATGGCTATTAGCTCATCACATATTTTTCTTTAGTTCTTCAAAATTATTTGTTCTCAATTTACCCAGGGAAGCTTTTCAGATCCAAGAATATTTTTATAAGTTTTCTTTGTTTTTCCACATGTAACTCAGCCGTGGACACGTGGATTGGAGACGTGTGCATGGCTCTGCCTTTTCTGCACTCAGCTGCTTAGCACGCTTTTTCACTTGTAGCTACTGCTGCGTGGACTTTCCTGGCCTCTGGGTCTCACCTGATTTCTTCACAGCCTTTTCCCCTCGAAGATAAATTCGCCTAATGTAAGGAGAAACCATAGCAGTGATGCATATAACACATTTACAAAATCGTGACGCGAGATGTGCTCCACACATGCTGCATCATCTGAACTTAAACCTGTGTCCCAGGCTGAGTGCAGAGATACAAAAACCAGTTTGTTGGTCCAGATAATGAGTTTTGAGTAAAACGTTTTGCAAGTCATCAGAGCAGAGAGGGAGCAAGACTCTGTAGTGAGGAATGCTTATAGCTAACAGTGTTAACGTTATTTATTGGTGTGAAGTGACTTCGTTAACAAGTTCATTAATGTTTGTAAATTTGAACTGTGAAATGATAAGCATCTGAAACAAAGGTCCATAAAAGAATATGAAATCAGGTATGCCAATCAGGGCCAATTGGACTATGAAACAGTGTTGAATTTGAGTGAAGGAAATTCTGGAAGTGGAATAGAAATTTTAGGCTTCTGACTTATCCACGAGACCCTAGACAAACAGCAACTGTTCTGTGCTTTGGTTTCTTCATTTGTGGGATGAGGTGTTGATCTGTGCTGCTACAGCCCAATTCTAAATTCAGGTTTCTGGGCTATTATGTGAAGTATTAGAAGGGAAGATCCCTGTAATTAGTATTATTAGATACCTGACATTCAAGTGGATCTTGAAAATTTATTAGAATTTTTTAATATTTAGCCTCTTTTAGCTCAGTTGAGTAGCTGATTTGGGTGATTTTCCGTCCCTACCCCAAGCCTGCCTTTGGCTATGTAAATAGCAAAAATGGGTATAGTTGGAATTTGTTCTCTTGAGCTGTAAATCACTGAATCGGCAGAGAGAGCATTAAAAAGTAGATTAAACAGAATAAGAAAAAGTTTAGGCATTGGGCTATGGCCTGAATCGCTCACATTTGGAGATTGAGGAAGCTGACGTGACCAGATTGGAGGGTGTGTTTCATACGCTTTGTTCAGGTAAAATTAGGTCAGTTTGGGAAGAATCTATGGGGCAAAGTGGAAACAGTTTGGAAGCGCTCCACCCTGAATGTTATTGCATAGATTCTGTATAAAATAGTTAGATATATCATTAGGTGATATATCCTGAGAAAAAAAGTTATAAGAGAAACAAATGTGATTAAGGAAGAATTAATGAACAAAGAAACTGGTTAAACTTGTTGCTAAACTGATACCTACATAGGAGGGAGTGAAGCAAACTGACTAAATCAAGGGGGAGATTGGGCCCCGTTAGACTCGGTGAGGAAGAGAACACCTGTAAGCATGTCCTGGTCCTCAGTGAGTGCGTTCCCAGACCCCTGTAGGCACCTGACACTGGGGTGGTCCTGAACCCTGTGTGTGCACACCCGTGATGAAGTCCACCTTAGAAATAGGCACAGGGAGAGATTAGCGGCAACAGCTTAGTAATAAAACAGACACTTGTAACAACGAACTGTAATAAAAGTTATGTAAAGTCTTTGGGGTCGTTGGTAAGGAAAGTAGGGGTGCCCTGGACATGAGCACACAGTGCTGCCCCAGGTGACCTGGTGACCCAGACGGCCGCCAAGCGACTGGAGTGGGGTGGTGTGGACAGCGGGGGTTTGCTGGACAAAGGGATGACTCACATCCCAGGTGGGACAGTGAGAGATGCCATCCTGCCACTCAGAATGGCACACAGGTGAAAACTTAGGAATAGTTTAGTTTTGGGATTTTCCATTTAGTATTTTTGGACCACAGTTGACCACAGATAACTGAAACCCCAGAAAGCAAAACCGTGGAAGCGGGGGGTCCTGAACTGAGATTGGCTGTGGGCACATCCACCCTCACAGCAGGCCGATCCTCTGCCAGCAGGCTCCGCCGACAAGGTTCGGGTGGGCGGGCAGGAAACCGCAGATACCCTTGGCGTGCACCAGGCACCTGGTACCGAACCTCTGAGGAGAGATCAGATCAGGAGAGGCGCCAGGTGCATAGTTGACCATAATACTTGAAGCAGAGTTCAAAGTGACGCTCAGTGATTTTAGGCAAGAACGCCACTATTTTCACTAATAAAACGGGCATGATTTGCTTTTTACACCCTTCTGTCCCGTGCGCACAGCGGAGTTTTCCCGGGGCTACGCCACAGTGACAGCACAGCAGCGGATGCAGGGATGCGTCATGAGGGTCGGCCGTCTGCCACCAAGGCGTTAAAAATGTACAAAACATTAAATTCTGCCACTCGGCTATTTTTTAAATTCTTGATAAAAATGTGATGTTAACGTATCATTGGTTATTTTCAGATGAATTAATAATTATCTTTAATTTTTTTAAGCTTTTTATCATGGTAAATAATGATAGATGTCCCCCACATGAGCATTCCTTGGGGTGCTCAGTAATATTTAGGTGTGCAGAAGGGTCCTGAGACCCAACTAGAAGAACGGATTAGAGAATATGATTTGTAGCGCAGTTGAGGAGAAAAAGTTGGTGTAGTCTTCCGAAAGGGGGAAAAATGAGAAAAAAAGAAACACAAAGGTTTTTTTAAAAGTAAGATTGTGGGAAAAGAGATCAAATAATGTAAGTGGATGTTTCTAACTTACCTGAAGATGCCATCAGAGGGGGTTAAAAATTTTAAATCCAACAAAAAATATATTTAAAATACTATAGAAAGGATGAAAATAAAGGCTTGAGCAATATGTCAGGGGGGTATTAGCAAAGAGAAGACAGAGTTATCGGTCACACTAGTATACAAAATAGAGTTCAGGGTGAGACAAACACGGGAAGGGACAAAGTGTTTTACATTAATAAACTGACCCAATACAGCAGAAAGAGCCACTGACTTGAAATGTGTGATAAAAGCAAAACACACCTGGATGATGAAGTTGATAAAACACAGTCACTATGGAAAATTTATAGATCAGTTACCCCCACTCCCCGCCCAACACACACACATTAACCACCTGCTTGTGGGCTGCTGCACTTGGCCCCTAGATAGCTTGTCCGTCGCACAGCGTTTTTTAAGTGACAACATGTCAGGGCTATTCCTACATAGTAAGTTACCCCAACACAGAGACTCAGAGGCAGGGCTGGGATTGTTACTCACACATCGGGTGTCTGGTCTCGGGATGATTGGAGCAGGGGGCCCACGTGTACCCTCTCTCTTACATGGCAGCTTGGGTGTCCAAGCACAGTGTTCCGGGAGACAAGGCAGGAACCTCATCGCCTTTTGTGACCTAGCCTCAGGGGTCACGCAGCTTCATTTCTGCCGTGTTCTGTTGGTTTAAACAGCCACAGACCTTCCCAGATTTAAGAAGAGGAGCGTAGGCCCTCCCTCTTAGTAAGTCAGATCACTTACAGACATGAGTAAAACCTCTTTGGTCTGTCCTCTGCCGCACAGTAATTTACCCATATTCCTCCCAAATGCCGAAGTGCGTTTCTCCTTTCCAAAGACCCCCCCAGCCTCGAGGTGCAGGGTCTAAAAGAAGTCCAAGTGCAGCTGAGGCTGCTCAGACATGGTTCCTCACTTATGTGTAGCCCTTTGAGTACTTTGAGAATCTTCTGCCGGAAGGACTAGAAAGGAGAAGTCATTACGTGTATGTGTTTTTAGTCCTCACCTGAGGACATTTTTTCATTGCTTTTAGAAAGAGAGGAAGGGAGAAAAACATTGTTGCAGGAGAGAAGCATCGATTGGTTGCCTCCCATAAGCACATGGGACCAGGGATCGGATGTGCCCCAGCAGGGGCATCCTTTCCACATTACTTCTGCTTCGGTTGTGGGAAACACTCCAAACCAGCTGAGCCACGCTGGCCTGGGCCAGTAGATACGCCTTTGAATCCCATAAGTCCGGCTCTTTTATGGTCTCTAAAAATTTTACTTGAGAACCGCCCGGATTCTTCTTCAGCCCATCTCCTGTTGTTATTGTGGATAAAATAAAGCACCTGTACTTTCAACAACATTCTGTGTGGAGATCCGCTTAGCCCAGTCCACAGCGGCAGTAGGTACCTGGTCAGACAGCCAGCCAGCAGTGTCCCTAACATTCTGCCACTGCGTCCTCTTCCTAGCAGTCCCTCTGGGTTCTTCCAGCTCTCCTTGTCACCTGGCCTCTCAACCAGGGCCATCTGTTTCTGGTTTTGTTACAGTTAACACCTCAATTCCGGCACCCAATTGTGTGTTAGTGACTGCTGCTCTGGTGACACATCACAAACCTTAGGTGTGAGGCAGCCCCCTAGGGTGACTCACAGGCCAGGATCACAGTGCCTCCCTCCGCACGGCCCCTCCCTCTGTGTGGTTTGATGTCCTCACAGCCTGGCAACCCTAGGGCAGGCAGCCGCGGAGGGCAGCTCAGCTCAGGGCCCGAGGACAGGACTCCAGGGAGCGGGTGGGGGTGGGGGGTGCATCTCCTTCTTTGCCCAGCTTTGACACACCTTGGCTGGGTCAGCCTGGTCCACAAGACTGCTGGATTCAAGCAAGGGGACCGGGAGAATGTCACAGAATTTCTCATCTGACAAGTTCACAAGGAAGACAAAGAAATTCAGTAAATTTAATTATTATTCCTTGAAATATGACTTACTAGTTTATAAGTTCGTATTAATTTAAAAAAAACCTTTAAAAATGACTTTAAAAAGCAAATACCATTTTTTAAGTAGGGATCCTGAATATGCCTACAAGATGGATTTTTTAAAAGAACTAAGATATGAATAAGGTCTTAAAGTGGCCGGGGATAACATTTTCAGTGGTACATTATACATGAATTTTGCAGATGCTGTCTGTCCGCCCCGGTGAGAGTGGAGCTGACAGTTCTAGTCTGTGGTGTCAGATGACTCTGAAATGGCTCTGGTGGTGGTGGCCACTGGGGAATCCTGTAACAAGTTTGAACAGAATTGTTCCATTGAAAAAAATTAGAGAAAAGCAACATCTCGTAAATATGGACATATTTATAGAATCATCCCTGACAGTTTATTCAAGTTAAAACGATTTAGATCTTAATTGGAAAAAAAAACAATGGCTCATATACAGCGGTGTGCAAAAGTAGGTTTACAGTTGTGAGTACGTGGAAACTATTCTTATATTACTGTTTATTAATTATATTATTTGTGTTACAACTATAAACCTCCCTTTGTTCACCCCTATATTTGTGGTTGCTTCCTACTAAAGAATGTAATCACTTTAGAAGAACATAATAGTACTTACTACCTGGTATCAAAATACAAGCATTGCATGTATATGCTTTTCCGTCAGAGTTGGAATGCTAATTTTAAAAATGAATTAGATTAAATGTCCTTTTAAATTAATTTATTGTTGTGGCCTTATTTTACTTTTGAAAACTTTTTTAAAATGCCATTAAGAGAATAGTTTTTAGTTCCCTTTAGAATTTCATTTTAAAGGTTTTCATATATGGCTAAATGAATCTAGAAACCTTAAGTTCTACAAAATGGGCAGTTTTTAGGAGCAAGATAATTACTTCCAGCACATCTGTATCTTTCTAAACGTGTTCTCATCCAGGTTTTGTCATTTACCTGGTTCTGTTTTCAACAAATGAGCAACCATTAATTTCCTTGTTTTTTCTATCAGGAAGCCCCTGCAATACATTTTTGTGTAAGTTTCTGTAATCTTGGCTCGTCTTCAGTTAAATGTGGGGAGGCAGACTTACAGTTGTCGTGACCTTGATTAAATGTTTTATTTCTGTGCCAGTCACATTTCTAGATGAGGGTTAAAACCGCCCCTTCCCCTTACAGCTTTGTGCTTCTAACAGCACAAAGAGCTTAGTGAGTAAGAGTGAACATGAAGGTGCTCAAGTAAAAACAAGTAATGGTTACTTTGAAAAAGATACTGTGAAAAAAAAATGTGCCAGTATATGAATCTGACATAATGTATTCATTTTTAATATAGATCTAAGCAGAAACATTTAGCAAGTGTAATATTTTTATAAACTTTTATGTGATAATCATAGTAGGCAAAATATTTTTCTTGGTTAAAAACTTTTCATACAGTGTACTCATGTTGGCTAATGTTTAGTCAGGAATGAAATGTTTGACTTTTACAGAAGCATTTGTTTTAATGCCAATATTAATATCATCAATCTTTTGCAGGAAAATATTTTCAGATGAAGTTGAAAGTTGCAGAATACTCTGAGCTTTTTTTTTTGCCATTTTCTAGCCGTTGTTCCCGTCAGTCATTGCTGAGGGCATTTTGTTTTAGAGTGTGCCCTCCGATGAACAAATGCTGTCCGAATTAAGTATCGTACTAAAGTACTCAACCAGTGGTTTCTGACCTCCCGAACTAGGAAGCTGCCTTAGGGAAACATAAAATTAACACGACTGAGGCATTTCCCATAAGTCATACCTACCTTAGAACCAGCATCATGTACATTCCTTATTTAAAAGTTTCCATTGTTTTGTGTATAGCTGTTAGTCCCAGAGAACCCAGTAAGCATAAAACACTAAGTTGCCTCTGGATTTTGTCTACACAATTGTAGTCTGGATGCAATTAATACTATTTTATTCATACCTTTTCATGGGTTAGTGTAGCTTTCCTTTTTAAGAGTTAAAGCTGGCACCATCATATTTCTGTGCTGCTTTCTTAGCTATTTTTCCTTCTGTTCATTTCTCTAGCTTTCCTGGAATTGGATAAAAAGGGTCCGCAGAAACGTCACTTCGACCAGCAGCCTTCAGTAGCACCTGGGAGAAACTACTCGTTCACGAGAGAGGAGGTGAGGCAGATTGATCGGGAAAACCAGAGGCTTTTGAAAGAACTGTCGAGACAGGCTGAAAAGCCAGGAAGCAAAAATATGACTCCCAGAAGATCGACTAGTCATCCCCCTAAGTTATATCACAGTGCCATCAACCGACAGAGGGAACAACAGAGGATTGAAAGAGAAAATTTGGTAAGTAACTGAAATTTTTTAGTTATCAGAGAAAATGCGCTTGTATTGATTTTAAGTCCCACTTACCAGAAATCCCAAAACAGCCCAAGCTTCAACTTTAATTATATAAAGGTGGATTTAGATGCACCTTTGCAGGAAATGCGTGATGAGCTCTAAGCCTGTAAGGTACGGTATGTAGGGTTTTTTCCCAGAAAACTATTTTAAGGGAACATTAAATGAAAATACTGAAAGCTCCATTATCTCTCTGACTAGATCTGCTAAATTAGTGCAGACTGCAGGAAATGGTGTCCACGTGTGAGATGTGTATATCTTCCGTAAAGTCTTCAGTCACTAGCCAAACCTGTTTCACTGTATCGTGTCCCTGAAAGCCAAAATAATTTATACGTCACTTATTTCAAAGGATAAATAACATTTTAATAGAGGTCAAATTCGGTGGTTTGCTACTTCAATTTATGAAAGACATCGATTGTTGAGAAACATGGTTATACTTTGATGTTCTAAGGGGTGTATATGGGGACTGGTCAGATGTTCACATTAAACACTCATGCATATCACTTGCTTCATGAACTTCAGTTCATAATAATTGCTGATGTTTACTGAGCTCTTACTAAATTCCCGGCATTATCCTTAGTGTCTTCCAAATATTAGCTTATTGAATCCTGACTAATTTTCTCAGCTAGGTGCTATTTCTATCCATACCTTACAAATGAAATAACTGAGACCAAGAGGGTTAATCAGCCCAAGCTCATAGCTAGTAAGTGGCTGACCCGAAATTCTAAACCCAGGCAGTGTCTTAAACTAAAATTAGATCCTTAGCACACAAATTCAGAGCAAAAATAATTGATAAATTTTTTACCTCCCTATCAGAAATATGATGTCTTCTCATTTATTCAAAGATTTCATATACTCTGCCTTAGTAAGGTAACTTGCTTCACAACCACCTATTTTTATTCTGTTCTGCATGCAATTTTTTCATTACATTTTCTAACAGCTTACTTTTGTAAACATGATTTTTGCATTTTTATCGTACAACCAGCCACCTGTCAAACCCTGTGTAGAGCCACGCTGGCTCTGACATACTTCACTGTGAGCTGATGCACTTGGAAAGCTGCTTGCTAGGCTCTTCGCAGTGAAAACACATGTGCACACACACGCACACTTTTATAGTTACTTCTGCGTCAGGCGTACTGCACAGTCAAGGCCGTTACTTTATCATCTTTTATTTGCTCCATCTCCAGTGATAGAGACCAGTCGACTGCTGACGGTCAGGATGAGCCAGGCAGTTCTGGTGCAGGATGAGCCAGGCAGTTCTGGTGCAGGACTCGCACGTTTGAGGGCTGGCAGTCCCGGTGCTGCTGAGCCCGATGCAGTCACTGCCAGACAGAAGCACGACTGTGCGGTGAGGATACGGTGTACGGTTAAGTCCTAAGCTTCAGGGTTAAAAGCATGCTGTTAATCTGTATTTCAGTGAATTTTGATTTCTTCTTCATTAGTTTCACCACCTTTTTTTCCTCTCTCATTACCAAGGGAAGTAAATCAGAGGAATAATAAAGAAAAAGTAACTTCATCCAGTAGAGGGCGCACTTGCCACATATAGACTCACTTATATTAGAACTTTATTAATCTCAACAAGGGAGCCATTTTTTAATTGATGAATTTTGACATATTCTCGTTAAGCCAGATTTTCTTATAAAAGAGCACAAGAATAATCTTAGCAGAGGAGAGGGAGTCAGTAAGATAATTAGTTTATAATTTCACTTTACTCTCTAATAGAAATGAGGTTATTTCATTCTTTTAATTATATGTCGGTTTCCTTAGCTGTGAAAGAAGGGGTGGGGGAGTAACTGAAGCAAGATTAGGGAACAAGTAGCTTTGCTGCAGGAACATACCAGGATTGGAGCCTAGAGCTCAAATAGTTCATTTATTTCAGTTTGAAGTCCAGAGAAATACAAACGAGTAGACAGTAAAGTAGACCACAGTCTCTCCACTCAGGAGATCCTGCATTCCAATAAAAGTAATGCATATATAAATTTAGAAATATAGACTGTCCTTAAAGACATTAAGTGAAAAATAAGTTCTCTTTTTCTTCTGTTCTTTGCTGGTCTAGAGGAGTAATTTTAGAGCTCTTACAATAGGGACACTATTAAAAGGAGGAGTGATACATTGTCACAAAGACAAAAATTTATCGCAGACCTCATAGCTAGGGTGCGTGTTAGTCTGTTGAATAATCAGCACCTTTGTTCTCAGAACTTAATTTATGGTTCATTCAGTCTGCTACTTCTCTGCTTTATTGTCTGATGTCTCCTTCTATAAAAGAAATAAATCTACTGATAACTAAGTGTGACTCCAGCTGCAGAAAATAAGGGAGAACAGTCCCGGTTTCCCCTGACTATGGGGCACTTACTACTCTCTAATGTCCTTTAGGGTCTTCGCTTTATCACTTCGGAAGCAGCGAAGCGGTTCTTCCGTGTAGAGAACTGCAGAGATCTCGAAGTGACCACGAACGAACACGTTGTTTATTCATTCACTGGTTTTAACCTTTCTGCCTCCGAAGACAGGATTTAGGCTGGGCTGTTTTTCTTTCCCCCCAGAAATGATACTTCCAAGATAAAAAAAAAAAAATTTAGACAAATTATTTTGAGATTCATTATTAGAATCTAGCAGTTCTAAGATTTTATACACCATAAATTGAAATATAAGTAACCATTTTTACCATTTTTCAGTTCATTAAACAAACATTTAATTGTGAGCTAGATAAGATACTGAAAGGAATATAAAAATATATACTTAAAAATACTGCCCTGTCATGTAGTTTATAACTTAGCTGGGAAGATACACTGTTACATGTTAAACAACTAGAAAACATACAAAGCAGTGTTAATGACAGCATGAATATTGAGTGATTACAGTATGCCAGGCCCCGTTCTGAGCACTGCATCGGCACTGTCTCACCCATCACCCCAAACTGTTTGCGGTTTATTGTCAGTATCCCTATTAAGTTATTTTTGATCAAGGTTACACAGTCAATGGCAAAGCCAGGATTTAAACCCAAATCTTTCTGACTAAATAACTTACAATTTTTACCCCTCTGTTATACGTGTTTCTAACATTTTGAACTATCATTTTTAAGTTTTCTCCAGGAGTTGTAAATTGGTGACTGAACTGAAATGTATATACTTTTTTTTATCCGCACCCAAGGGCATTTTTTTCATTCCTTTTGAAGACAGCCGAAGGGAGAGACAGAAATACCGATGAGAGAGAGACATCGATCGGTTGCCTCCCTCAGGTGCTGGGACCCGGGGTCGGTTGTCTGCGCCCGGACTGGAATCATACCCGTCGGTTATGGGCTGATGCTCCAACCAGCTGAGCCGCACCAGCCAGGGTAGAAATATATATGCTTTTGATTTTAGGGTTTGAACTGTAATCAGCACTTCATAGTTTTGATATTGTTTCTACAAGCAAAAGCGATTTCTATGTGCAGTTGGTCATTTAGCCTTTGCTCAGCTTACGGAAGCAGGGCCCCAGACCGACACAGGGCAGTGTTGCCCCGAGGGGCTCGGGCAGCTGAGCCTGGGCGTGTTCACTCCCTGAGTTTGCACGCAGACTCGACCAATGACATGTCAGGGCTACAGAAGGGGAGTACTTTCTGCCTTATTGTCAACTTATTTCAAAATTGATTTCGGTGATGTTTATGTTTACATCTAATGAATGAGCATTGCAGTTTTCTTAAAATTTAAAGAAAAATATGCATCTAACCAAAAAACTTAATTTAGGAACTTAGAAGTTTACTTTAAAAATATTGAGACTTCCACCAGCAAACAAAACACAATTAGTAGGTAACTGAAAGTATCAAGTCTCTTTCCCATGCCTTCCACTCTGGAGAGCTCAGTGGGTGGTGAATAGGATAATTAGGTAAAACAGTAAACGATGCTCCACCCAGTGAAATACACTGATGATGTGACACGTGGAAGTTTCTTACTCAGAAACTTCTAAGCTATAAGTGTCTTAGACATGCAGTGGTACTACCTTCCCAACTAAATTATAAATTACACGATAGGGTGTATTTTATATTTTTCTTATATTTCCTCGCAGTTACAAACTGTAGAGAAAGAAGATACGATCTTAGGAGGTTTCGTCACCTAAATTGTACATCTTCTCTCTACAAAGAAAGACAGTGTCGTGATGGAAAGACCATGGACTTGACAGATGGAAGCTCTCAGCTCAGCGGGGAGCCACCAGCACCAGTGGGCCAGGCTTCCTGAGGAGCCAGCTCTCCTGGCCTTGGCGGGGTGGGGGCATTCACGCAGAAAGGATAGCTGGCAGGCTGCATTCTCACGGTGCTGCCTCCTCCGTGCGTTTGGCTCCTCTGCCCTCTGTCCCCACCTCCGTTTATTTCTTAACACCCTTCTTCTCTCCCTTCTGCAGACAGTTCTCCCCCTGAAAATTTTGACTCTCCCACCATCCTTTCCTTCTCGTGGTTGCTCAGAACACTGATAATGGAGCCTCAGAATAGAAGGGAGGGGGTGAAAATGCTGAGAGCAGAACGCTGGGTGGAAAAAAAGCCCTGAAAACGTGTGGCGTGATGGGGCACTGTGGTGTGCGCGCAGTGTGTGCATACTAAGTGCCACCAAGTACTGTGCTTGAAAATGGTTCAAGTGGCCATTTCGCGTTACGTGTATTTTACCACAATATAAAGAAAACTTAAAAGAAAAGAGAAAAAATATTGTGCAGAGGGAAACTTGTCCTGTGATAGAACAGCTGAGGCTGATACTTTGTTGTGAATCATGATACAGAACACAATTCTTTTTTCAGACAAAGTTCAGTGTGCTACAGAGAAAGTTTAAATCAGTAAAGAAAATAATAAAATACAACCATGGATGAATTCCCCAATCCACTGGTCTACCTAAATACTATTCCTTTTTCAGTGATGCCTGAGGAAAAGCAAACGAAAGAAACTCTTTCACCTTCTGATTTGTGAATAAAGAAAATAAAATTAGAAATATTATGCCCTGGCTGGCATAGCTCAGTGGATTGAGTGTGGGCCTGTGAACCAGACGATCGCGGTTCGATTCCCCGTCAGGGCACATGCCTGGGGTTGCAGGCCAGTTCCCAGCAAGGGATGCACCAGAAGCAACCATACATTGATATTTCTCTCCTTCCCTTCTAAAGATTAAATAAATTTTTTAAAAAAGAAATATTATATGTTAGACTCCAACTGAATCTTATTAAAATACCACGTTATGCTATATTATGTTGCCTTGGCTAGTTGATTTATGTATGCTTTATATTCTATAATAGTTTAGTTTCAAACTTAACAGCAAAAACTTACTTTCCAAACTGAATTCTGTGCAGAATCTCCGGTATGTAAAACAGACCATCAGAAAGCATAGTGGGGCTGGCAGAAGCGAGGGGGGGGGAGCCCTGCCCACTGGCCTTTGCTCAGTGTCGCGGTCACCCCGCAGCCAGCACTGCCGTGTGATCAGCGAGAGGGTTCGTAGCAGTTGCAGTAAGTTTAGGGTCATTTCTGGGCTCTTAGCATTGTTACTCCCATGTGTCATTTCTATGAGAAAGGCAGGTTTAATGTATTTCCACTTACAGCACCTTTTCTAAAATTGTGACCTGATATGAAAGAGGTGTGCCTGCAATCTGTTGTGAAACCTTTGTGAAAACTGGCGGTTTTGGTTATTAGCTGTAGAGCAGGTCCCGGCCCGTGGGTTTTCCTGAAGGTGTGTTATTTGAAATATTTGTTCACATGGTATGTCAACAACGATTTGAATTTAAAGCCTTTTTAATGTCATGAGATTCAGGCTCTAAAGATAGTTTTCCTCTTGGGAGAACATTGCTGTTTATCTGACATTGACTTTCAAATGGATTCTCTTTGAACGAAGGCTTTACTGAAGAGGCTGGAAGCTGTGAAACCGACGGTGGGCATGGAGCGCTCGGAGCAGCTGCTGGACTACCACCGCAACATGGGCTACCTCAGCGCGGCGCCGTCCTTGAGGCGGGTCCGGGCCACGCCGGGCCAGTATAGCCCCCTGAGTAAGCGCTTTCGAAATGATTTCTGTACCTGTTTTCATCCTTTTCAAAAAATACAGCTTCTGTCCTTATGACAGAACTTTAAAGTGCTGACTTGTGGAATGCATTTTGTGATTTTAAACTGGCCTGCTTTGTTTTATTTGTGTTAGTTCACTTGATTTTAGGTTTCATTTACAGCAGGGAATGGCAGCATAGGAAGGAAACCAGGAGAAAAACAATTGAAAATATTAGTAGTGTTCATAGATAATGGAAGAGAGACTTTTAGTAACTTCAGTATATTTGTTAAATATATTGAATAAAGATATTCAGTATTTATTAAAGGAAGAAGTGAATAGATGTGCTGTTTAAAAATTGCTGGAACATTTTCCCTCGCCAGTTAAGAATTACTGACATCTTCAGCTCTTGTGTGTGCTTTGTCTTCCTCACTGAGGAACGAAAACACAACTCAGCCATCAGTAGAGTCATCAGGTGTGATCCCTCCTGATGCTTGCTATGTGATCAGCGACACGTCCCAATCATTAGTGGCGTGTGCCAGAGGACATAGCAAGGAGGGGCCACTCAGTGCCAGGGTGCACGGAACACGGAGGGCCAGGCCAGAAGGAAGTAGGAGCACAGACTTCGGTACCGAAGCGCGTCCCAGACTAGGGACAGAAGAAGCCAGCAGGAGAGGAAGTGGGAGCCACGTAGCACGCCACAACTTCCTAGCGCTCACGCGAGTCCTAAACAGTCAGGGACCAGCAGTTCCACACACTCATGCTCCCAGCGTCACTTCCTCACCCAGTGACCAAGGTGGGGTTCCGTTCCAGTAACTCACGCGTGGTTGTAGGTCCTGAATGTGGTACGTTTTTTGAATAAATGTATAAATGTATAAAAATAAATGTATTTTCCTGAATAAATGTATAAACAGGTGTATAAAAGTGGTTTTTTTTTCACCTGAATCATATGATAAGCTTTTTAATGCACTTATTCCTACCCCAAATCTGTTGAATCACAACCCCCCAGTATTGAATCTGGGAGTATTTGCTATTTTATTTTTTAAGCTCCACAGAGACACAGAGAATTCTTAAGTGCATTTCTGGTTGAAAATTCTGTTGGATTAGAAACACACGTGAGACGGGGAAGAAAAATTTAGTTTGGACTTAATATTAGGAAGTTTATCTGATGACAATGTATGGAGTTAGCTTAAGTAATCCGGAACAATTTCTCACTTTTTGTGTTCTCAGGAGGAGCCTCCAGAACATCCAGCGCCACCAGCGGCCTCAGCTGTAAGAGCGAGGGCGCCGCTCTGGACACGTCCCGCGGCCTGTTGCTGAGACCTAAGCCCCCTAATGTTCGTGCAGCTTGGTTATAAAAACTTTTTACTTTACACGTTGTTCATCTAATTCTTCCTGAATTGCCCTTGTGTATTGTGCAGTTCTCTGTGTAAGCATCTGTAATAACTGTTTTAGGAATTTTAAGTTGTACAACAGCGGGTTGTAATTTACTGTAACTCAATACAAAATTGTTTTCCAGAAACAATTGAGTGTAAAACCAGCGTCTCCTACGAGAATGTATCCGGAGGAGACGTGCGTGTGTTTAGTGCAGAGTGTGCGCCATGTCCCTGGCAGAGGCGCTGTGACGACGGTGTCTCGCGCATTGGACCCTGGGGTTCGCTGCATGCGTCTTGTTTTATTTTATTTTCATTTCTTAGGAGCTCCAAGCCATAAGCATAACTCCTAAATTTGGCTTTTCTTTTTTTTCTGTTTGCTTCAGGATTTAGGTGCTATGACTCAGCTTGACTGTAACACTTTCTTATTAATGAAGCCAATGTTGCAATTTGTTTTCATTGGCGGAGCTAATTTACTGGGGCAACCAATCCTCAACGATTCTCCGGAGACAGCTACTGCCTCTGCGTGACTGTGCTGAGTTGGGTCTTAAAGTTTGATCAGCTGTTCCGAACCATTTCAGACTGAGTATTTTAGGAAGTTCCATTCAGAAGCTTCTCTTTCGTGGTTTTGTACATGCAGATGGAGTACTATTAATGGTTCTGAGAAGCAAGGTAGGCCTTCGTGCTACAGTCTGTGTTGTGAATAGTTTGTACAAGGAAACAGATCATCATAAGCAAAAACAAATATGTTTTGAATCAGCAAAACAGCACCACCAGTTTGAAGAGCCGAGAAGTCCACCCTATGTTGTATCAGAAGTACTTTAATACTGTTAGCAAGTTGTATTATATTTAGTGTTCATTGTATTGTATTAAGTGTTTATCGAAGTTAAGAAAGAAACGTATTGTCTCACAGCTTTAGAAATTTCAGCAAGTGTTTTTAAGAGCTGGAAACGAAAACTACCACATAAACGGTAAAGGGGGAAAATCACATATTGTCGGGGCCACTTTAAATGTCTGCACATTTTCTTGTTTCTTGGTTGGGGCCCACAGGCTGAGTCCTGGGATGCTGTTTTCGCTACACCCATTTTAAAGTCTTCAGAATCTTACTGGAGTAGGAAGGTATAATGTAGTTGACTTTTGAAATTAGATTTTTTTTACTGGTTTTCACACTGGCCGTTTTACTGTGTCCTTAGAGTGTATCAGAAAGTTTCCATGTTCAATGCCAAACCTTTCTTTTTTAATACAAATTTTTTCTCTGTAGCTGCAGTAAGATTTGCATTTTCTGGGTTTAATCGGGCTCCGTAGCACGTATGCATGCAGAAGGCCAAACTGCATCTTACTGACATCATTTCAGAATTTCTCGGACTGAGTCTGTGTTGGTCCGCAGACTGTGTTCAGGGCGGGCGTGTGGAGTGTGGGAATAGTGGGACGGGCGGACCCCCGTGAACACAGCCCGCCGGGGGGCACGCTGCTTCCTCTTCCACCCCAAAGTTGGCTCCTTGTTATGTGATGCTCTGTTCTGGCGAACAGGTTTTTTCATATGTTAGTGTCCGCTTTATGTGTAAGCTTTAGTTACACTGATGCAAGATTTTATTTTAACTTATTGTACTTTTAATGTTTGTATAACCTGTCGTTACGGGGAAATAAGATAATGCTGAACTTAAAACTCAGCATTTGAACATCTGTCTAGTAGTGATTAGCCAATATTTTAAAATTTATTTTAAGTTATTAGGGAAAATATATGTCAAAATTTTTAATGTTTATTAATGGCATTTAGAACAATGTTCTCTCAACATTGCATATGACCCTTGCTGAGTGTCAGGGACCACACATAATTTCATGGGTAAAGCTGTACTTTGACTTTAGACACAAATGTAATGCCTTTCGTTTTTACTGCTTTTGATGGGAGGAGCATGTAAGTATTACTAACGGGAATTCAGCTTGAAGAAAAAGTTGGGAAGAGTACTATTCATTTCCTCAAAGCAGAATTTACACTTCCATTGCCAGGGTTACTTATGTAAGTATAGGTAGAAGGTTAGTAATTGCCTAGTGCGATGTTCTCTCCCATGAGTCCAGGGACTTTGAAGTTGTGGTTTAAGGGGCACTTTTAGGAAGGACTCACAGTTATACTGTCCTCACTGTCAAAAACATGAAAAGCGAAGGATCATCTGGCATGACTTTGTATTTGGTTTACTTGTACCTCACTGTATATACTTGGGAGATTTACTTCTGCAGGTAGAAATGACACTAATTCCAAAGTCTAAATTATTAGGCAAGATTCTTATTGAGAATGATTTTCCTGTGTGTCATGTGTTAGTGTTGCCTCCTTTTTGATAAGATTTGTGAAAGATTTTCAACTATTAAAAATGTTTGCTAAGGGATAGCTATCATCTCGAGCTTTTGTCACTCTCCATAAAAAGCTACCTTCTTAACTACTACTCCAAGTAAAATTTTTCTGGTTTGCTTATAATTATAGTGTAACTCAGTTCTTTTTCAACCTGTTAACCCAAATGTCCAAACTGTGTACCTAGACAACTTTAAAAGGAGGTCGTTGTCATGGATTTGACCGTGTGCTTCTCTTCTCCAGACTCAAACACTACACACCATGGAAAGTATTATGACCCACATTATGTTGGAGACACAAGTTTAATTTACTGTATTTTGATAATTAAATTCACAAATGTTTGACATCGTAAATGCCAAAGTCTTTACCTATAAATGACTGTGTAACATCCTAGAAAATGTGCTTAATGCTAATGACCACTCTTACCTCCATGAATGAAGGTCATCAAGAAACTGAAAAATCACTATGCTTTTAAAATTTTTCAGTCCGCTGTAATGTGTTTTAGTCATCAAGAACTAGCTTGGCATAATAAAAACAGAAATAAAAGAAAGATAACTGAGTTTTGAGACTACGTTTCTCTCTCAAATACATGGTCTTGTTCCCACTGAAAATTTATGGTAATAGTCTTTACGTGCCACGCAAGACTAAGAATTGGTGAAGATGAAGAGGGAAGGAGGGTGCCAGCTATTTGTAGAGTTTTTAAAGAGTTTGCTTAAAATCCTGTTCCAAAACAAGTTATCTGATTTCTGTAAAATTGTTGCAGTGCTACAGTGGACACTGTGTTACATATTAAAGGAGTGTCTTCTAAAAGTATCTGTTACCTGCATCAACATTTCGCATGTGTTGTGAGTGATAAGTACTCATTTTAAAACTTGCTGTTCAGGCATCAATTTAGGAACTAACACTTCATTTTACAGTAACTTAATGAGGGCTTTTTTCCTATGAACCTAATTTCGTATTGCTGTTATAAGATAGTAAGAGAATTTGGATATTTGCCAAAGGATGATTAAAAACTCCGGTTCTGAATACACAGCATGTGCCTCACAGTGACAGTCTCCACAACCGTGTTTCACGTGTGGGGATGGTAGGAGGTCTTCGGGTTTGGAGGGTGCCTTGTTTTCATTTCATGGAGAATCTTTACATTTGATTAAAAAATACACAGAACCATAAGTAAATACATCTGCTTCCCCATGTAGTTATATATACTAACTAGAAAAACCCATTGAGAAGTTTTCATTTTAAAGTCCCTTCTGGAGACTATGAGAAGGACATGGCCCTTGAGGTGAGTGTCCATGAGAACATGACATCTCTTACTTTTTTGTTGGTGGTGGTCTAGGTGTTACAGAAATACAGAAGAGGGCACCAGGCATAAACGTACAACCCATGGAATGGCCCAAAGCCAACACCTGGGTCCCAGCTGGAATGCCGCGACCCCACTAGAACGCCAGATCCCGGCGGCTCCCCACCAGCCATTACCCCTCTCTGTCTGCCGAAAGGTAACTGCCATCCTCAGTTTTACGCTGCAGTGTCATTTGGTCTGGGTTTTTTTAACACCCTATGAATGGAATTATGTTCCTTTATGCCTGGCTGCTTTTGCTGGACCTACTGATGTCTGTGAGATGTTTCCATGTTGTCTCGTAGCTGGAATTCCTTCTCATTTCGGAGTAGTCTGGCTGTACTATGATTTATTGGTTCACTTGGTGGTTTATGGTCAGTTGAGGTGGTTTCCAGGTTTTAACTATTACAGTTAATGACACGAAGACCTTCGGAGGTGTGGCCCGAGTACTTGGGCATGAACTTTCATTGGTTATATTCGTAGGAGTGGAGTTGCTGGGTCAGAAAACCTACCTATTTAGTGGATAAAGCTGGAATTGTCCAAAGTGCGTGCCAGGTTCCTCTCTCACACAAGTGTGCGTGTTCCTTGGTTCCATGTCCTCGCAGTATGTGGTGTCGGTCATTTTCAAGTTCAACCTTTGTGGTGGGTGTGGAATGGTACATTGTGATTTTGTAATTGCACTACTTACATCTGGTCGAACACTTTTTCTTGTTTATTGGACATTGGGAAGTACCTTTTCAAGGGTGGGGGTTTTTTTCTTGCCTGTTTTTCTATTGGTTAAATGTCTTTTTCTTGCAGATTTGTAGGAGCAGTTATATACTCTAAACACACTGCAATTCTGGTGAGAGTTACAGTACAATAAAAATATTTCCCCCTAGTCTGGCTTGCCTTTTTCACTCTGGATGGGCTCTCTGAACAGAAATTTTGAGTTTTATTTAGTCCACTTTACCAGTCTTTTCTTTCATGGTTAGTACTTTTGTTAAATGGTAGATGTTATGAAATTTTCATTTACCTGAGGGCATGAAGATAGCCCCACTACGTTCTAGGAATTTTGCCTCTCACACTTTGACCTGCAGTCCTCTTGGTACTGCCGATTGTCCCCTTCCCACTAATTCTGTTGCCTTAGTTATTTACTTCCAGTCTTTGGGTTTAGTTTGCTGTCATTTCTCTGACTTCTTGAAATGCAAGTATAGTTCACTGATTTTCAGCCTTCTTTCTAATAGATGCATTGAAGGCTGTAAATTCTTAGCAGAGTTTTAGCCGTTTCTTACACATTTTGAAGGCATGGTATTTTTATTAAGTTCAAAATACCTTCGGGCTTCCATTGTGATTGCCACTTTTAAAGTAAGGCCGCCTTCGTATTTTCAGTTGGATGTTTTAAAGTTGTATTTGCGGTTTTGGTTTACATGAAAAGTATCAGGAAAAACGTGAAGCTCTAACAGATCAAGGGCAGCAAGGGGCAGCCCGTGGGCCAAACTTGGCAGCTCTGTGCCTGTTTAAGTGGCTTTTACTTTTTCAAATGAGTTTTAAGATTAAAAAAATGTTCTGTGACGTGTAAATATTACATGAAATTCACTCTTGCTCATTTGTCTGGGAGCTTTGCTGCATAAACGACCATCTGGCCAACCGAGCCTAAAATATCGACAGCCTCGTCCCTCAGGGAGAAGGTGTGTCCACCCCTCCTCTGGGTGATGGTTCCTCCCAGACTTCTGCCCCTGGCAGGCCACAGGGGTGCCCCCATCTCAAATTGGGGTGACCCAAAGGCTGGTGTCCGTGACAGCAAGCCCATCTGTTTCCAGTTCACCCTCACCGCCAGGATGGCAGCCTGGGGGTCCCAGGGAAAACAGGGTTACTGAGGCTCCCCGCTTCCTTGGCAGGCTGAGGATTCCCTTGTTTGGGTTTTGTTCCTCTCTCCCTAAGAGGCTTTCCAACTGGCCAGTTCCTTAGTCCTTCAGCCAAATTTTCCACGACTTGCAGGCACCTCATGGGGGAGAATATCAGATGGGGGGTGATGTCCGACTCACTTTTGGGGTGTCTTCTTCCAAATCTCGGCGCCATCACTTCCCGTGCCTTGTTAGCTGTCCGGTGCCTTAAGGCAGGTTTTCATTCCAAACAGTTCGAACCCCTTTTCCAGTTGTCTTCAGAGGGTGCATTGGTTTGTATTACCTGGGCTGCGGATGTAGAGGTCCTTCATAAACCACAAATACGCTTTGTTTTTTAAAATAATTCTTAGGTCTTAACAGTGAAATAAATGTGTTGATCTTGAACCTGAATGTGTTTGGGCGGCCATCAATGAGGCAGCCCCATTTTCTCTAAGATCTCTGCTAGGCTGGGCTGGGTGTCAGGGCTTTCCTTTTGTGTACATTTTTCATTTTCTTTGATCACTTATGGCAGGAAAGCCGAGCACTTCCCTATATTCACCACAATTTTGGGGGGTCTGGGAAAGCATTGCCCTTCGTTATTGTGGTGAAACAGGCCAGCCAGTTTCTTACTGGGGATGCAGGGCTGAGCAGGCGGGAGAGCTGGGGAAGGAGGAGGAGGTGCAGGGGCACCACACCCCTCAAACCACCTGTCAGGAGAAGCGAGACGCCTGCCTGCCTCCCGGGCTTCACTCCAGGTGGAGGGACTCGTTTCCTGCTGGTCACTCAACAAGCCAGGACCCTATGAACCGTCCGGTCTTCTGGACCCAAGTGCCTCCTTTCCCACTCGGAATTATAATTATTTTCCTCTTGCTCACACATTTATGAGTCAAACCCAAAACTGACTTTTTCCACTGGGTCACGCTCAATTGTTACAGAAAAGAATGCTAGCAGATTCGTGCTCTGCGTGTGGGTGTTCACACTAGCAGGTGCTTTCCAGAGCCGTGTCTCTAAATCTAGGCACCTTCCTTGAAGGTCCCCCTTCTCCCACTTCCCACCTTTCAGCCCCCTCCTCTACTTAACCAAGATTCAGTACATGAAATATGACATTATTTAACAATGCCATTTCGCTCCTGCTCCTCTGTCCATTTAAGCTTCTTTTTAAAAAGTTCATTGAGGGAGAGAGAGAAACATTGATTTGTTGTTCCATTTGTTTGTGCCAGCGTTCGGTGGTTCTTGTAGATGCCCTGGTCGGGGATCAAGCCCACAAACTTGGAGCATCAGGACGATGCTCCAGCGGTTCTAGCTGCCCCGCCAGGGCCCCACTGAAGCTTCTTTGAGGACAGGTCCCTGTCTTTCTGCATCTCGCACAGAACCTATCAGGAGATTCTCGCTAAGTGGTTCTCAGTGCATAGTGTCCACTTGTCATAAAATCCTAAGTCTCACAGTTCTTCAGTGGTGCTGATACAAAGCACTTCCTATTCATGCAATACTCCTGAAACTGTGATTTAAAGCTTTCAGGGGAAGCGAGGAATTCCTGAAGACAATGAAGGTGCCCAGAATACAGTGAGATTATGGAAGCTGTGACCTGGGCCAGCATTTCTCAGCCTATAGCAACATGGGAATGAGCTAAGAGGGTGTATAACCCGTTCAAGTTTGGAAGCCGGAACTTAAGCACTGTAGGTACTTGCATGAGACACGGTATGATATCTGACATTGGGAAGCTGGGCCACTGGCATGTGAGAGTCATGCTAGAACATGGGGATTTATGTGTCTTCACACGGCAGTGAGTGAGAATTCAACAGAGAACATGCAATAAGTGGTCTTTATTGGTTTCACATTCAGTCATTTTATTATCAGTTCTTCAGTTAATTATACAAGGATGACACATTATATTTTCTGTGGGAATTTAAATGTAAAATAAATACAAAATACATTCGTGGTTTAACCAACACTCAGTGAAGCTCTTTTCTTTTTTTCCCCCCCGAGGTCTTCCTTTCAGTCTGGTCTTATCTCAGATCTTTCTCTGTACTTCCCCTAGGAAGAGTCTATTAAACCACACACCGGGTCTGGAACCAATGAACTTGTTTTAATTCCATTAGACGTACTTTTTGATCTCATCGTACAACACCAACACAAAAGCGCCGCCCATGCCTCTCAGTACATTGGACCAGGCCCCTTTGAAGAAGGCGTTGGCTCCCTCGTCTTTGGCAATCTTCCTCCAGCAGTCCAAGGTCCCCGTGTACATGATGTCCGCTGTGGAAACAAACGGCAGGGGGCGCCCCGGTCATGCTAGAGGAAAGCGGCTGTGCCTCCGAGAGGCCTCAGCACGCAGTGCTATCAGTAAGTCACTCGAGCAACGAGTCCCAGCTCTGCAACAGCCACCGAGAAATCCCCTCCCCTGCAGAGCGGTTGGGCAGGCTCGCTTATCGTTCCTTCTCCTTCAGCTCAAGAACTGTGGCAGTTAACAGCTAATTTACAGACCCCCCGAATGGTAAAGCAGGGAGGGAGCAGCGTGGACCAGCAGTGGTGCACTGTGGGGTGCCCTTTCACGGATGAGAAGACTGAGGCCTTGCCTCTGATTACGCCAGCCCCGGCTCACGCAGTGAAAAGAGCTACGAATGTGCGGTCGAACCACAGGAAACAGACACTTGACTTTCTGACTTTAAAAATGCCAATTTCGTGTGTTTCGACCCGTGGCAGCCAATGCCTTTTCTATCACAACAGACTGCTTCAGCCATCTCTCATCCAGCTAAATCACTCTTCCCTGCTTGTAGTAACTAGGTAAGAGAAGGATTATTTTTAAATAAACCAACAATTTCTTCAATTCTTTCCCCCTACTTCTCACCAGG